TTGTTTCAGCATATAGTTCCTCCACAATATCACCCTACGAAAATAAACGTTATGATCAATACATGTTTTGGTGAGATTATTGTTTCCATTAAAAATACTAGTTAAAGTGCATTACCGTCAGGTGGGTAACTGGCGCTGACTGCATAGGGTACAGCATGTCCACGTCGGCGATTTCAGGAATATCTACATCTGCTATTGTCACAAGCCGTACGTGTGTTTGTGCGGTGTACCACCGCATGTACAACGCGTACATACGACGGTCGTACGGTCTGGATTCGTTAACAATGTCGAGTGTTGCCATCGACCATTGTTCAACCCAAGGTGTCATCTTAGCAAAAATATTTCGCCGCACGCTAGCATCTCCCTTCCTCTTTTGCCTGCAAAAAACTCATCATTAGGTGTTGAGGTCAGTAATATAATTCGGACACACGCAAATTAATGGGAATGCATTTAAATATAACTTACAAGTGTATCTTGGGGGGACCGTTTCACCGGGCAGGACTGGCACTTCTTGGTAAAGGCCAAATTGCCTCATTACACGCTGCGGACTGTACGCCTCAACTGCTATATCGTACACAAGCATCTTTTTTGTTAGCCAGTAAGACGAGTCACGCAAGCAGAGTGTACTGAGGCCATTAGGGGCACGGCGTTGTGTCTCCTTGTCGGTGTACGGACACCACTGAACGTTATCCTCCTTAAGTAGATCAAACGCTTCAGTGAAGTAGTCGTACGCACTTCGAACCTGAACGTTCGCCCACTGTGGCTGTATGTTATGAAATAAATAGTAAGATTACATATGTACGAAATAAATGCAAATGTGAAAAAAAAATATACGTACTGGTCCCCAGCACCAACGCATGCCATAAGTAGGCCTATCATCTGTACTGTTACCAAATAAGGTCGAATCAGCCACAGGTTCAGTCATGTACGGTTGTCCCAATGGGAAGCGTTCATACGACCATAACTTGACCAACAACGGACAACCAGTAAACACAGGCTGCTTAAAGCTTGTCTTTGTGCATGCTTCACAAAGACCTCCGTAAGTTGTAGCCAAAACTGCTGATCCCCAACTCCACTGGGGAAAACTTTGTATGTTGCCCAACGTAATAAACCTTGCTAAGTTAATCATTCTTGCATCCACTGTGTTTCCGTGTCCACTTGTGAACATAACCCATCCAAAAAGCCATAGATGGTACGCCTCCAAATACAATTCCACATGGTAATTTTCCGTGTCGTCTCTCATGTAACCAACCTACAAAGGTACATAAAAGTTCAGTAACAAAACATAGTATCATCACTGCGAAGTTGTATGGTCGAATTAGTTTTATCTCGAACTGGCTGAGCCAGTGTAACATAGGGCCACGCGCCTCATCTTCAGAGAAAAAACCTTTGATGTCGCTATCATCCTCTGGAACAATGCAAGCAAATCTTCCAATGATATCATCCCTCCAATCCACTGGTGGGTCAGGGAGGACAATTGCCTGTCATGCAAGTGGCAGCCCTGTAAGCATGGATACATCTTGCAGTGTAATTGCCATCTCTCCACACGGGAGATGGAATGTGTGTCTCCGGCCGCCATCTGTCAACCAATGCAATTAGAAGTCACTTGTCTATAATGTGGTGTCGTGTGTCTCTTCCCACCACATCTTCTTCTTCCTCGTCATCACCTTCCCCTGGATTTGCTCTCCGTCGGCGTGCACTTTGTTGTCTTGCTTCCATGTAATCATAATGCCCTCGAGCCTGCAACATTCTAACAAAAGGAAGAAGGCCTGCGGCGAACAACCTTGCAAAACGACAATTGTTGGGTCAGACAAAACTAACACTAATTGAAGTAAAAAGAATATTACCTACATGTAAGTCTGTAAAAAAATTAGTTACCTTGATACCCAACATTCGTCGACCCCCCACATTGGGAAAGTCCGCGTTATGAAGACCGACATACCACTTGAACGGCTGGAAGACATCTGTCGTGCACGGTGACATGCATCGATCTCTACTGAGTAACGGGTAGGGCCAATCGTCCGCCATACCTGAAATTTTCCAGATTAATCAGTACATATAAGCATTACAAAACATGAACATCTGTGAAATATAGCACGTAGTACGAGGTTGATGAGAACGATACTCACAAATGAATATGGATTATGTCATTTTCATTTTGTATGTGAAGCGTTTTGATGGCTGTTATTAAACCTTTTCATTTTGCTGAAATTATTATTACACTTTTAAAATTACCAATATAGCTTCGAAAATTTCACGATAATTCCATATAGTATTTTAGTTCATCGGGATTTCCAGAAAATTAACTCGCACACTATCTAAATTATTACTTATCCAATACACTAATAATTATATCTAATACATAAGCCATCACTAAACTTCTACTTTATAATATTTACATTACTAATTTACCTCTATTTCTTCAATTGCTGCTACAAGCTCACCAAAATCTTTTCTCTAGCTCTCCTCTCTCACAATGCTACTCTCTCTTCTACAGTATGAGCGTCTCCTCTCTTTTGGGCAGCTATTGTGTGAGGTGCATCGCTTCCTCTCACCCTCCTCTTATTTTATGCTGTTAGCTAAGTAAAAAAAAAGACATGATTGACATTTTCACTGTATTGATTGAAAGCGCGTATTCCTATTTTGTCTATTTTTAGCAGCAGCACTGGTCGTTTCACGTGTACTCGATGATAAAAGAAGCACGCGCGGCAGAGGGTAATGGGGCCGGGCCGTCGGTCCCGCACACCCGGCGTGCGCGACCGCCACGGTCCCGCAGAACCAGAGCGCGCGACCGCCCTGCCACTGCCTCCTCCATGTTCCCAGAATTTTAGCACTGCCACCTACGAGTTCCAATCATTTTTTGTTTTAACTGTTCACTGAATTTTAGGAGTGATTGGACCTAAAGTTGAGGAGTGGTTTGCTTGTTTAAATGTACACAAAATTTTAAAACTGACTGTAACTAAAGCTTAGGATTAATTTAAGTAACTTTCGGGGGAGGGGAGGGGTAGTGCGGGACCGTCGCCCGTCCCGCAGGTTGGATATGCGGGACCGAAACGGTGCCGCACGCCCAACGTGCGGGACCGAGTTTACCCCGACCGGTCCCGCATACCACCGCGGTGCCGCACGGCCGTTACGCGTGTGCGCCTCGGTGCCACACGCCCAATGTGCGGGACCGTTGCGGTTCCGCTTCTCCAGCGTGTGGCACCGCTTCGGGCACCGCTCCCGCATCCCCAATCCGTGGGTGCGCTTCGCTCCCGCTGCCCCAGTCTGCGGCTTAGGTATATTTTCGCAAATAGTTGCCATGTATGTATATAAACACGAAATATGGGAAAAAGAGGTATATTTTCAAATTTTTTTCTGTGGAAGTAAACGAGCATTTGCTCGTTCTCTTCTTAAATGAGGCACCTTCTTATAATATAACAGATTAACATCTGACATTCTGACCATGCTCTTAAGAAAAGGACGATACACTATAAATAGTGTGAGGTCAAGATAATGCGTGCTGGTGCAAATCGGAGTACAGTTTGATACTAAAGAATCAAATCTTAAAAAATAAAAAATAAAAAATAAAAATATTAAAGGAACACAATACGGTATTAATTAAAATTAAAAAAAATTCTGAAATTAGAAAAAGAAAAAGATTTCAATTAGGGATACAATTTAAAAATAACTAAAATTGGTGATAAAAAATAAAGAATATTGGGATAAAAGACCATCTAAAACACATGGCGTAATAAATTAAGTAACATGCCTATAAAGGATTAGAGTGGTGACGGTTGATACAACATATATGTTAATAACGATTAAAAGGAGGGACGACAGACAGGCCGTGAAGCAAACGGGCAAGACGGTTGTCGGGACTTATAGAAAGTAAAAAAATAAACCTTATTGATAATCATATTCGATTTTTAAAATCTCAATGACAATAAAAAGGAGAAGCAGCGGGTGAGATGTATAGGAGTAAAGATGCAGAGCCGTCGACGGTTGGCAGGACTTCTAGAAAATAAAAAATGAATTCCAACGATAGTTATGTTTGATTTTTAAATAGTTATGTTTGATTTTTAAGAATCCCAATGACAATAAAGAGTAAACGGTGGACGAGCCGTAGAGGAGCATAGTGGCATCGTTTGACGGGACTTCTAAAATTATGAAAAATCAAACCCAACAAGATAATAAACTACAAGGTCCAATTTTTATTTTTAAAGGTTCGGAACTTCTAAAAAGTGAAAAAAACCAATGATAATCATGTTCGATTTTAAAATCTCAATGGCAATACAGAAGAGAGGCAACGTGTGAGCCGTAGAGGAGTACAATAGCAAAGCAGCTGATGGCGGAACTTCTAGAAAGTAAAAAAAAATGAACCCGGATAATAATTATGTTCGATTTTTAAAATCCCAATGACAATAAAGAGAAGAGACAGTGGACGGGCCATAGAAGAGTATAATGGCAGCGTTTGATGGGATTTCTAGAAATTATAAAAACGAAACCCGACGAGACAATAAACTCTAAAAACTATAAGATCCAATTTTTAAAGGTTTCAATAAGAATCAATGGAAATAGTGGTACATCGAGCAAAACGAAACCCAACGAGACAATAAACTCTAAAAACTGTAAGATCTAATTTTTAAATGCTCCAAAGAGAATGAATAGAAATAGTGGTAGATTGATCAAGCAAATAAAAAAGGAGATGACAAAAGTAAAGGATAGCAACTAGAGTGACTTTTAAAGAATATATAATTAGAAATACGGGGATGAAAATGTTTGGTCTTTCAAAGTCTTAAGACAACAAGATAGCTACTTAATAAATTTTAAGTAAAATCATAAAAAAATATATATGATTTTGTTTGGGTGCTAGCCGCGCAATTGCGCACGCAACCCCAGCTAGTTAGATTGAACAACAAGCGAACTACTACCAGCTTATACTATGCAAAAACTACCAATACGGCAATTGATTCTACAACGCGGGAGCCACAGCCGACAGGAGACTTCACTCTAACAACCTACGAGATAATACGGCTTGGCGCCTCAGGCCTAGCGGTGATGCCGGCGTGCAGGAGCAGCGCCCAGAGCAGCGTGACGAACTCGCCGCCGCGCGCCATGGCCTCCACGTGCCCCTTGACGTTCTCCGACGGCGCGATGTACAGCATCATCTCCGACGAGAAATTCGCCAGGAACAGCCACGCCGACGCCTCGTCGTCCTCCTCGGCGGTCGTGTACTCTTCCGCAAGGCAGCGCGCGATCTCAGCGCCGCCACGCAGCACCTTGTCGCGCGCGCCGGCGCTCAGTGTCGCCACGAGCCGCTCGTACCTCTGCTGCGCCGTCGTCGTCTCACCGGCGGCGCCGTCCTTTGCGAGAGCCGCGGTGACGTCGGCCGTCAACTCCTTGTACCGCTTCTCGGTCCACGCGGCGCTGTCCAGCAGCAGCTCCGGCGCGGCCGACGCCAGGTACGCGCAGTAGTAGGAGAGGTGGCACGCGGCGGCCATGTCCGGTGATGATGGCGACGGCGTCGGAGAAGCGTGCAGCGAGCATCTCATCTCGTAGAGCCTCGTGGCGACGTGCCACGCGAGGATGATGTCGGTGGTGCTGACGCAGCCGTCGCCGTCGTCGCACGCCCAGCTCTTTCGGGAGCCATACCACAGCCAGTCGACCTTGCCGCCGACTCGCCGCTCCGCCGCGCTAACGCTTCCTCTGCTCGACCTGCCGTAGCTGCTCATCAAGGACCTGAGCACCGTGTCCTTCACCGCCGGCGAGACTTCCACCGACCTCATGAGCCCGGCGCGGCCGTAGAGCTTCTCGGAGAGAAGGCCGGACCGCCGGCAGAAGCGGCGGGGCTCCAGCACCGAGTTCTGCCCGATCTTGTTGCGCCACCGCCTCGCGGGCCTGAACCGCAGCATGGCGTCGAGCGCCGCGTGGGCGCGGCGACACCGACGCCACTGTGGCTCGTGCCTGATGTAGTGGCCGAGCAAGGCCATCTTACTCCAATTGGAGCACACGCCGGCGACGATGTCCCATACCTCGACGAGCGCCACCGCCACCAGGAGGGCGAACGTGACGACAAAGTTAGGCTTCCCTTCTTTGAATGGCAAAATCTAAACCGAGAAGCCTCTTGATTTAGTGTTAACTAGCGACCAACCAATTATGAGAAGAACTACTACTACACGTGCATGCTTTTTTCCCTCTTAGATATGCATGTCTTTTTCTTTCTTCTTATAAAGTTTTCTCTCAAATTACTTATTCAATCTACAATCTGATTACACCATTACATTCGTTGCAATTAAATATTTACAACAAGATCTTATATGATTATATTACGATGAAAAAATATTTATATTTATAAATTACTTTAATTATATACGTAAGTTACTTTTATCATATATATATATATATATATATATATATATATATATATATATATATATATATTACTTTTAGATTTGACTAAATTACTTTTATACATTCATAATGCTCTAAGTTGATTATTTTTATTATTATTTTTAGTTAATTCTATATTTTGTGGACTTTATAAATCTTCTCTACACTTTACTTGCAAATTGTACTCTACGTAGTTTCTTATTTCAGCTCACTCACAATATAATTATTTCTACTACAGATAGTTACTCCCTCCGTTTCATAATATAAGTCACTTTAGCATTGCCCTTATTTATATAGATGTAAATGAATCTAGATATAGTTCTAAATTAAAGTTACTTTCTTTTTGTTATAAGTTACTTCTATAATATATGTAAATTACTTTTAAGGTTTACTGAATTTACTTTTATATGTGTAAGAAGTAACTTAGTGAAATCTAGAAGTAATTTAGACATATCATAAAAGTAATTTGTGATTTTTCATCAAAATATAATCATGTGAGATCTTATTGTAAAGATTTAATTGTTACGAACACAACGGTGTAATCGGATGAGTAATTTAAGAGAAACTTCTCTAAGAAGAAAAAAAATATATAGATATTAAGTGTACTAGTAGCTTTTTTTTTTTTGAAAGAAAGGTGTCTCTCTTTAGCACTTGTTAGAATATGATCACCTTTTCCACTTTATATATTGTTCCCACGGCGGTGGCTCCGACAACGATTAGGACGGAGAAGATGTAGTTCAGGGCGGCGCACCACCCGCTGTAAGTGCACAGCGGAAGCCCAGCGAAGTAGAAGTCGCTGGCAAACGAGAGCTCGTCGACGAGAACATGGAACACTCGGTCGGCGTTGACGGCACAGGCAGAGCCGGCGGCGTTCATGCCTCGCAGCACGAACTCAAGGGCCTTGGTAGAGCCCGCGTCGTCCAGGGGATAGCCTGACAGCCGCCGGCGAAGGCTCTTGAACAGGGAGAAGGAGAGGCAGAGGTCCCTGAGCTCGGGCCGCTTGGCGAGGAGGCCGTTGACATCGCCGTGCTCCGCCATCCGCCACATGCGGTCCAGCGTCACGAGGCTGCTGGACTCATCGTCCAGGGCGTCCCGCCTGATGCGGTATCCGCGGGCGCCCGTGGCGACGTGCTCCTCCTTCTCCCCCGTCACTATGTAACGGGGCACCTGGTCATGGCCGCCGACCTCGTCGCCCTCTTCCTCGAGCTGCTCCATGTAGCCGGAGACAAGCCGGGCGTTCTTGCCAACGGCGAACGAGCTGCTCGCCCGCCATGACGCGAACAGGTTGAGCAGCAACTTGGCGAGGCCGAGCATGCAGAACGCGACGAAGATGTTCCTCCTGGTAGTGCCCACCCAGTCCTCCAGTGGATAGCACACCACAATCAGATAAATCAGCCATATGTACTTCAGCAGATACTCCAGCGGCGGCCAGACCTTCTGCCCGTCGACGCTAACGTCGCCGGACGACGGCGACGACGAGGCCATGTTAACGGGCGGTCGCCGACGTGTCGGACTTGCCCTTGATGATGAGGATGATTGCCGACCACAGGAGGATTATCCACATCTTCCTAATATCCGGCTTGTCCTTCTGCTGGACGCCACCGGAAGCTTGGGGAGAGGCATTGCTGCACTTGTCCCCCTGGACCCCCTTGAGCAAATTGGAGATGATGGAGGTGGAGAGCAGGAGGAAGACGGTGGAGGCGCCCCACACGAAGAGGCGGAGCGCCGGGTGGCTGCAATGATGGCCGTACGTGCCGAGCGCCACCACTACCGTAGCGAGCATGGCAAGCACGGCGGCGCCGATTATCTGGCCATTGACGTTGAAGAATTCTTTGATAGTTTCAGTGGACGCCATTAGATGCTCTTCGGTTTAGACGGACTGACCGAGTAGTGTGCTCTTCAGGTTTTGAAGAGATGATCAGAATAAGAATTGTGTGCGAAGATGATAGATCAACCTCGGGGTATTTATAGGCAAAGGCTAGTGAGTAACGGGAGAGCGAACTGTTTCTTACTAGACACGATTTTTCATCATGTAAAGAATAAGTCAACCGTTTCACAATTCTTTTCACCTTTCTAACATCAGAATTGCTAAATGGCATTAGACTGAAAATCGACATACTATTGGGGAACTAATCTTTTGCTGGGTTAACCAAAAACCACAATAGTTCTGGTTCCAAAAAGAACCGGGACTAGAGATCATTTTTAGTCCCGATTCAGAAAACATCGGAGCCCACGCTATCTTTAGTACTATCTAAAGATCAAACACGGTATATAATCCTAGGACTTATCCTCTCCCCCCACTCTCGCAAACAACTCCTCCTCCTCTCTCCTCTATCTCTCCCTGCGTTCCTCTCTCTAGCACACGCAACAGAGCAGGCTGGAGGGGCGACAGCCTCCCCTCCGACGTATCCGGGAGGGTAGGCGGCCGGGCGGTGATGGCAGAGCAAGCCAGCGAGCCAGGCGGGAGTGACGGCAGCCTCCCCTCCGCCGGATCCGGGAGGGGAGGCACCCTGGCGGCATTGGCGGAGCGAGCCTCCGCCGGATCTGGGAGGGGAGGCGGCCGGGCGGCACGCAGCTAGCCGGATTTCCTTTTTTTTTCCTTTTTCTTCTCATAATTTGTGGATGATTGTTGTTGTTGCGGATGATTTGTGATGTCGGAACATGATATTTTGTTGTTCGATGAATTTTGATGTCGGGAGATGATATTTTGTTGTTATAATTTGGGATGTCGGCTAAGATACGCAAAACAACAAAAAAAACAATGAAAAAAAAAACAACCGGGACTAAGGAAGGAAGCCCTTCCACGTGGCATTACCATCTTTAGTTCCAGATATTTCAATCGGGATTAAAGATGGTGATCTTTAGTCCCGGATTCTTTCTCCCGGTTTGTAATCCTGGACTATAGGAGGTTGCAAACCGAGAGAGAAGAAGGTTTCTCCCGTAGTGACGGGACTTGTTATAGATTTTGAGCCATCCAATTTGTTTGAAGATTCATGCATCCTGATAGAGTTAATCTTGTTATAGTTTAATTAGGATAAGTATTTGGTTAAGAAGTCGATCCGTAGCATATATATATTTATTTATGCCGGCCAGATTGTATAGATACACGTTTAGGAGTTTTGAGTCACGTAGTTCTAGTAAGTTGAGTCATGCTTGTTTTACGTTGTTTGATTCCTATGTCAAGTTTTCGAGCATCTCCAGTAGTGACCCTACTATATTAATTATGAGATTTAACATGAAAAAATTAAGTTCAGCAGAGACACTACTATACCCCCAAAGTGAGGCCCTTGAATCCTCCCTCGAAGCCCCTAGTCCTGGGGCTCAACAGGATGTATGCCCCTATCGACGTTTTTTTTTCTGGTGCATATGTTATTTTCCCTTGGTGTGCTAGCTCGTCTCACGTTCCCACAACACCCTGCGATGCATTTCGATCTCCTCCGACTGCCGTCGTTGACCCCTCGCTTCCGGCAAGATCACCCAGAAAGGTCCGCTATCCGCTCGCACACCGGTGAATCACCGCATTGATTTTAGCTCTTTTGCCTGCCAACCCGCGCCACCTCCTGCTCGCGCTGGCGGCGCTGCCGGCCGGAGGGCCAGCGCCTACCCTTGCTCTTTCATCCGCCTGTCCCTCTTCTGCCTGTCTGCTTGCCCCTGCAATGTCCCTGCATGCAGAATGCAGGAGTAGATTTTTCTTTTCATTTTTTTACAGAGGCATAGAGGATTTTAGTGGAAAAGTTTTTTTTTTCCTTTGGGTCGAGGCATACAGGAACAGGATTAGGGAGAGAGACAGTGGTATATATTCATTTTTTTTTCTTTGACACAGCATATAGGATAATATTTCAGTAGTTTGGTTAAATATATACTCTATAGTCTAACGAAAGTCCATATCGCTGGACTAAGGGCATGTTTAGTTGGTGAAATGAAAAATTTTAGGTGTCACATCGGACGTTTTTACCAGATGTCGGAAGATGTTTTCGGACACAAATAAAAAAAAACTAATTTCATAACTCGTCAGGAAACCACGAGATGAATCTTTTGAGCCTAATTAAGCCATCATTAGCACATGTGGGTTACTGAAGCACTTATTACTAATCATGGACTAATTAGGCTCAAAAGATTCATCTCGCGATTTTCTTCCTAACTCTGCAATTAGTTTTTCTTTTTATCTATATTTAATGCTTCATACATGTGTCCAAAGATTTAATGTGATGTTTTTATGAAAAGTTTGCGGGGAGCCTCGTTCCAGTAGCTATGCGAGATCGTCGTAGGTCCTGCACTCTCGCGATACCACCATGCGAGACTGCGGCTTCGTCACGCCATCGTCGCTTTATCGTCTCCATTTCGCTCTTCCACTCAGCAATGAGGGTATATTTGTGAAGAAAAAATTATATCCCGGTAATTAGTTTGGTGTTCTATTGCTATTCGAATAACACGTTACGCTATTTTTTTTTTGTGTTTATTCTTTTCTTTGAAAAAGTAAAAGAATCTGATGGCATTGTCTGCAGTACTTGTACTTGAGTTACTGAAGAAATTAACCCACGGCAAAGCACACGGGCCATACCGGTCCTAGTTTTGCCGTAGCTGCCATTCGCCCAGAACCCAAGTTGTTGGACACAATTATTAATTATCTACCCCGATTCGTATTGTAAGTTGAAGTTGACCTTAATACTCTTAATTTAGTATGGTCGACAACCAGCTCAGCTATGTACGGAGTATATACGACTATATTTGTATCTCCACGAACGAGGCTCTGTTTAGGCCGCGATTATCTATGAGATTAGCATAACCAGTAATAGGCATGCGCGTAGCTGAGTCAAAATGAAGAGCATGTCGACGCGACGACACTGATGGAACTGAAGGTACATTAATTCATATCATATCTCATCCATCCGTGTACACGTCATACATTCGAAAATTATGTGCAGATTTAAAATATACGGAGTTTGATATGAACTGATCAGAAGTCGCATAGCTAGAAACGGTCGACTGATCAATACAAGTCTTCCAGCGTGCTATTACGTATATATTGAATGCTAACGCGCATGCATGCATGTACGCATATGCATCTGCATGGGTTGAGGTGAAGACATTTGGCCATTTGGAGAACTCAAAGGTCTAATAACGATTTATCGTCATTCGTATGCATGTACATACAATATTGAATGCTAACGCACATGCATGTACGAATGAGAATAAATTGTTATTGGACTTTTTAGTTCTTCAAACGGCCGATTACTGTCTTCATCTCAATCCATGCAGAGGCATATGCGTATATGCATGCGCGTTAGCATTCAATATGTACGCATATACGTACTGTCGCACTCGGACTAGCACACGCTGGAAGACTTGAATTGATCAGTCGACCATTTCTAGCTATGTGACTTGGCAGTCGGGCAGCCGCGAGGTAATTCATGCCCGCAGACATGCCCATTACTACATGACGGACAAGGAACACTGTCTATGTCCGTCGCCCACGGGCGCCATGTGCCCACGAGCATACCCGTTTACCCGTCACGGACTCACAATGCAACACTTCAACAACAAATCTCCACAAGTAAAGAGACATTATCACAGTTTAAAGAAAGGGTACAGTTGTACTAAGTTCAACAATACAAGTATTACAAGTTCATCAATCCTAAATGGTGACACTTATACTAATTTGACTGAGGACCCACATGTTAGCTGGTTTTTGCGGGTAAACGGGCGAAGCGGGCATGGGTAGTGACTACCCATGTCCATGCCCATAAGCGCATTGGGTACAGGTTTTGACCCAATAAAAAAACCCATATGTACTAAATAGAAAACAAATCTAACTCTATTAGAGTTTTTTCCCACGGATAAACCAGCAAACGGTCAAATTTTCATCCCTAGTATGCATGCCGATATGCTCCATACATATATATAGACGTCCTCAGCTAGCTACGTAGAAGTTGGCACTGATGGCTATATATCTAGTTTGATAGTTCCGTTTTGGTATAACCAAATGCATGTCGGGAGATTCATATATTGCGAATTTCACTCCGTCAGAACTCTTACATGGTACTCCCTCCGTATTTTAATGTATGACGCCGCTGACTTTTTAACCAACGTTTGACCATTCGTCTTATTCAAATTTTTTATACGAATATAAAAATACTTATATTATGCTTAAAGAACATTTGATGATAAATCAAGTCACAGTAAAATAAATGATAATTACATAAATTTTTTAAATAAGACGATAGGTTAAACATTTATCAAAAAATCAACAGCGTCATACACTGAGTACAATTTAGTAGTATACACTGCTAACATAAACAAAAGTACTCTAGGAATTTATCATAAATTGAAACGGCCGAGTAACAATACGTGTCGTGTACGCTCGTGGTAGCTGGCGGCGACAGCCTGGTGCACGCGGACTCACGGTGGTGGTGAGTGGTGACGCCTCGCCGTGGGTAAGAACGAGTGGGGGCGACCGCGAAACGGGATCGGCTGTGATCTTTCCC